CCCCAAAACCCCAAAACCCCAAAACCCCAGAGAAATAATAGAAAAATAATAGTGTAAAATGATTTAATTCAATAAGGTAATAAATTTTCTAAATAAATGGGGAATATTCCCTGAATGAAGTTAACAAAATGCTGGAGGACTTAGGTTCATAACCCAACATAAGCACACCATTGAACACTTAGTGAAACCAATTTGTTCAAACTGTTGGTATAACCATCGAAGCCACAGACGCAACCACCCGGCTAAGGTGGAAGCAAAGTATTTAGAGTACCAGAAGAGGAACCAACAAAAGTAAAATCAACATTTTTCAAAGAATATATGTCAAAACCTTTTATGTTTGTAGCACTAGTAATTAAATCTACCCTATTGATGCAATCATTAATATTATAAGTAGCTAGTTGCCAAGTCCAAGGAGATCCATAAACACCATAATCAAATTGCTGAAAACCATATTTTATTTTCATAAAATATATATCATTTGGTGTATCAGCTACCATTATACTTGTTATAGCTCCATATTATTAGAAATTGAGTCCACTTTAAAACTTTGTTAATCCTGCTTGACCAACTAAATTTGGATAGAAACCTGATTTAGTCACAGTAAACATACCAATTGTAGCGGGAGGAGAAGTAATTCTCTTAACTGTTTGAGATACATCATAAAAAGGTTCCAAATCTATGCCATAAGGAATTGCATCAGCAGAGGAATCGTAATAAGAGATGTTACTTACATTTAATTAGCATTATTTTACAAATTTATAATCAACTATAAATTGCTTATAACCATTAGAAACAAAGTAAAGGCTACGTGAGTTATCCATAATAAGACGAGGATTTTATAAAGCCTCTCCAACAGGGAGTCTTAATGTATCAGTTTAAATAATTGTTGGATTAGAAGTAAAGAGTGATTATAATTAGGCAGATGTTACAGAGCGAAGTTTGCCAAGCAATGCAATATAAACCTGGTTGCTCGTATCTTGAATTAGAGTGCATTATTCATGATAGATTTGATAATCAGGAAGAGCGCAAGTTAGGTTATTAAAGTAGTCTTAGGAAGATACTGAACCAGAATTCTATTATTTAACACTTGTAGCAACTACATAATAGCCACTTTTAGAGCAGGAAATATTACTTTAAGCAGTCATTTATTGAGTTACCTGATATTTATCTTTATAAGCATTTCTATTTGCTCCCTAAATATGGCAGCAATCAATTTGAGAATAGAAACTATTGCCTAATGCTTTCATAAATTTTCCGATTGGGCAAGTATAGCCATTGAGAGTCTGACAGTTTAAAGTAGTAGTCCAATATCCTTGAGTTCCAACTAATCTAGTACTCAAAAGGGAACCAGAAGGATACACCGACAATCCTTTGATAAGTGCAGGATCTGGGATGACTGCAGATTGAAATAAGTAATCGATTGAAGGTGACATAATTGTGGTAGAAAAAAATTTAGTTGATCCTTCAGCTCGAAGCATATATTAACTGTAGGTGCTCACAGCCAAATCAAAGTTTTATTATAAAAACTTAGAATTAGTTACGAGTTAGTGGGTTGAGATCAAATTTGTATCGAATAAAGTGAGATCTTATCTCACAGAATATAAGCTGTTTACCTTAGCAAGAGATGGAATAGACAATTCCAGCAAATTGATAATAAAACCTCCTTTAGTGCTGATTTCAGTTCCAAAATCTAGATTATTACTCAGGGCGTAACTTTCCACAGAACTCAAAAGATCCTTCATCGCAAAAGATATGGTCGCAAAGGCATTGTTGCATAAACTCATTCCAAGGCCACAAGGAGCTTCCTCATATGACCAACCAGGGTAGGATTGCAAATTTTAGACTTTGTAATTAAGGTTCGTCAGTATGGATATTTCGCTGCTAATTTATCTCTGAGATGCTGCAAGATTAATGGCATATATGCTTGCAATAATAGATTAAGAAACTTAATCAATCTAAGCTTGCGTTGCCATAAATCCGTTTGACATTTATGTTATTATTTGTTTTGTAGAAGCATCAATCTTAGCAGAAAGAATATCAATCACATCTTAGTTAGTGGGTTATGGGAAAAAGAGGTCCATAAATATTCCAGCAACTGGGCCCAAAAACCCTATAGATCTACTGATGCCTTTCAAAGCTGTTAGGGAGGAATCTTAGAATACCGAAGCAACATCACCAGCTTTATTCGTCACCATTCCGAAGACATCTAAGGGATCTGCTTGTTAAGTTGGAGAGAGAATCGCAACTATTGTAATCAATAGCACCATATAGAACTTTTACTTCATTTGTAATTTATGTTTATAAATATCTATTTAGTAGGCTAATAAAATGGCATGGGTTTATAATAGATAGTTGACGTGGCCTTGGCTCCTTAACATTTCATGATATACAAGAGATTGCAGGCGCTCAAACTGAGAGAAAAAATATGTAAATTGTCTATATTAGCAATTTGATTCCTCTCAATGATTATTCAATCAAGCTTCGGACTGATTACAAAGCATAGTCCACGCATACGGATGAAGACAACATTGGTTGAGGGGGCATCAACCAGAGTAACACAGAAAGATTAGGAATGAAGTATGATTAATATTATCAAGATAAATTAGATACCTTATCAATTTAATTAACTTATACAGAAGATTTATTTTGTCAAAGGGCCCATTGCATTTTAAGTTAATGAGAATCTATTAAGCACAAAATCTGTTTTAGATATAGAAGTAGCAATTTATATATATCTTATGGCATTGTCAATGAATCTAGTCCTTCTTTATTTGGGAAATTAAGTTGATTGCTCTTGGTGTTGGTAGCTTCTATATTGTTGATAATCTCGACATCTGTGAATATCATTGTGCTGCATCTGACACCCAACCCTCCAACTCTCTCAAGATATTGTATTTCATCTCTCCTGTAGTTGAAACTCTGAGCAATAATAAGAGTCATTGAAAGTATTAACGAATAGTAGTAAATTTTAAAGATACTAGACTTATCCTTAAACACAGCACTTTAAAAACTCCTTATTTTGCCATCAGATAAACTTATTTCGAATGATTTCCGATTCTACATTAGCGCAGAACCTGTACCTTTCGCAATTTTTTCTTGAGAGATTATACATTATTTATAGTGTGTTATGACTGGTGATTAAGAAGCTAGCTGCTTGATCTAGACAGCTTCTCTTTAATGTTTGTAAAATTGAGCATCTCATGAAACATGAGTGTTTCAGGCTTGCTAATGATCTCTTTTATGTGAATGAATTTAAGTATTACTTGAATACAAATTACTCAGCGGAGTTTTAGTGTGCTTTCATAGCAGATGTAGCGGTAAATTAGATGCTTGTATGTTTCTAATCAAATGCATTTAAATTTTTTGGGCTCAGCAAGCAATAATAGCAGCTTTACCTAAAATTAAAATGGATTCTCACACTTGAAATCAGATTTCAGCGAGTAATCTGATATTCCTTTCAACACAAATGCAAGCATTAGAAATGACTCAAATTCCTCTTAGTCTCTTTTAATAGTTGCTCATTAGGGAGATCATGCGGACTGAGGTATGTGCTCTACAATAGAGATCAATCAAAGCAATACCAATAGCGATTCTAGCATTTCTATTTTCAGAGTCTGCATTCAACACACAATAATATTTTTAAAATGATTGCGCCAAGTTTAAGCAATAGCTAATTATCAGTTGTTAGTCTTGATGCCAGCAGCACCCATAATTCATAAGTACCTTCAATCCTCACTCTATGTGATATCTACCTTCAAATCAATGAATTCGCAGAAAATAGCCTTAGTTCATGCAAACAACTCTAAAGGAAAACTTCTTCATTAATATAAGTACCTAATTGGCAAGTTATCTTTCTCCACAATTAGCTTTAATTGTTTTTTAGGTGCTTCTGCTTAAAAATCTCCATTTTGTGTTTGTGGTGAATACTAACCTACAATACTTTCACTTTTATCGTTATTATGTAGATCACTCAACTTGGTAAGCTTCTGATTCCTGATGGATATGCTATTTTCTTCAAGTCCTTTCCTCTTTTTAATCTATGCATGGCTTATAAAAGTGCAATTTCTCAACAAATCTAATTCTTCTTGGAGGTTTTAAAACACTCTTTTATTTTAGCTTGCATCAGCTAGCAAGTTTAAATCAGATTGGTGGTATATAATCACAGAGTAGGGGAATAAGGCTACAAAGGGAAAAGACTATTTTACTTATATTTGATACATACATCATAATCGAGCTCACAGCACACAGAATTAGTCTTATTTAGATTTCTTACATCTTGCATTGACTTAATTGGCGGATCAATAATTTTCCAGTAGAATTTTTACCGCTGAACTTCCTGCAAGAAAAGACTTATTATGGAGACTCATTTCTTTTTAGTGATTGTAGATTCAGCTTCACTAATAAGCTCCATTTACTATATAAGGTCTTTACTCTTCCATTCATCGCAATAGATATCTGGATAAGTACTCGATTTAAATTAAGTGGAAAATATGCTTACGCTTGCCACTAATTTCATATAAGCAAGAAGCATTGAATTCCTATATAGAATGCACTTTCAGGTCGGATCAATCTTATTTCTAAAAATCTTGAATATAAGGAGCAGCCTTAGACACAGCTTCTAAGTTGATTTCAGTTACTTTTAGCTACTTAAAAATCATGGAGTGTGTTTTATATATCTTCTTTGATTTGACAATTGACATACGAATTCGAATATTTGAACTAAATACATTTTGATTTCTATTTTTGCTGATCTTGAAGAGCATTATACTACATGGGGTTTTGGGGTTTTGGGGTTTTGGGG